GGAAAAAGTCTACACCAAAGTCTGGTACACGGAGTACTATGATACGTGGTTCGACCCTGAATCTGGCTGGCCCCACCCAGTGGTTTGGTACCTGTCTGACTACTGGTGGGACGGAGACTTCTTTGTAGAAAAGTGGCGTTGGAAGTATCCGTGAAGACCTCTCCTGGGACTCCCACAGTCTGAACCTCTTGGCATCTGCGGTGCATGGGCCTGCGGCTTTTGGAGGTCTCTCAGTTCTCCTTCAATCTCCTTTGCATGTTCCTCAACGTCGGTAGTTGGCAAAATACAAACCATAAACATTCACAGCCCTCTCGCGTCATACATGTTTGAATTCAACTACCTCATATGCCTTGATTCACCTGGGGTGGGTTCTCACGGTTGGGCTCACTCGGCTTTACAGTTTCCTTTGTATGCCTCCGTATCTTCTGGGTCATTGCGCGCTTGGGACATTCAGTTTATGTCAGGCTTTCTTTCTTTCACCACATTTATTCGAATGGGTTGACACTTATGTATATTGGGCTTCAAGGGACTCAAAGAAAGTTCTCTTCACTTCTTAATCACTTCTGGCCGTGGGAACATATGCCCCCAAGTTCGGCGTCAAGAGTTATTCAAGTTACTCGAGTTACTCAAGTCACTCAAGATATTTTGATCAATTTAAGCATAATCCATCACCTTGCATTACGTTTCTCATTGCTCGCACCTTTATTCAAAGCGAGAGGGTCCTGGTGGTGGATTTCATTCATTCAGTATCATGGGTTCAATTTAGGATGGGTTTCAATCATTCACGATTTCTTTCAGTATCATGGGTTTCAATCATGATTTCTTTCAGTATTGGACAGGCAGTCTCCATTCATGATGTCGTTTAGTATCTTGGGTTTCAATCCTGGGTTGAGATTCATCTTTGTTCTGCCCCTTCCTCTCCCGCTTCTTGCCCGCCTTCCCTCTTTCTCTACCGCACGCATTTGGCGTATTGGTGGCTTCTCAGGTTTGTGTTTTGGGAGAACCGACCTTTCAAGGCGCGTCATCATCATCATCATCATCCTCCTCCTCATCATCACCATCATCATCATCATCATCATCATCATCATCATCATCAGCATCAGCATCAACATCAGCATCAACATCAGCATCAGCATCAGCATCATCATCATCATCATCATCATCATCATCATCATCGTCATCGTCATCGTCATCGTCATCGTCATCGTCATCATCATCCTCCCCCTCGCCATCGTCATCACCCCCTCATCCTCCCACGTCGCTCTCATCTCCCTCTCCCTCGCCATCCGCCCCGCGGGTCCTCCAGGGGCGACCGCGGGGCCGATCGTGAACGGCGCGACCGCCTGCGAGGCCGCGGCGCCCGTCAGCGCCAAGGGGGCGCGGCCGCCCTGCGGGTGGGCCTGGTAGTAGTGTTGACGGCTGCCCTGCTGCTGGTGGTGGTCGAACTGCGGCCGCTGGTAGCCATGCTGCTGGTGGCCATGCCCATCGCTGGGAGCGTGGCAGAGCGCGAGGCCAGGGCAGTAGGGATCGCCAGGCATGTGGCCCACGGCCTGCAGCGCCTGAAAGGACCGATCCGCGAAGGAGCCACGGCGCGGAGTGGCGGCGCGACCGCGCGCGGAGACGCCACGCACAGAGGTGTGACTGTCGCGGCACGGCATGCGGGCTGCGAGGCCGTCGATCAAGGAGGGGTCGAGCTTGCTCTGAACAGGCTGGATGTTCTTGCTGCCGAACGCGACGAGCCAGATCTGATCGCACAGCTGCTGCAGGTCGGCGGGGTCCTCTGGGTACCGCTCGAGGATGTTCCAGTGCGCCATCCGGCCGCGGCTTCTCATGATCTCCACGTCCTTGACGATGTCATCTTTCTTCCGCAGGACCTCCCCTCCGTCGAAACTCGGCAACTGCCCGTGGGGCGTCCTGCCGAGCCAGAACGTCGCAATCAAGACGCGGAGCGTCGGGTTAGACGGGTTGGCAATGCCAAGCTCGCCCAGGCGCTCCGAGAACATCCTGGACACGTGAAGCCACGGGGTGTTCCCGTCGAGCAGGGCCGTCCAGATCTCCTAGGACGGCCGCACTAATGCACCGTACATCTCGCCAATCCCCACCGCCGTGATCTGGCGCCAGGCGGGGGGGGGGTGGGGCGGTGCAAGACCATCTCACATCGATTCACCCCGCCACCGTCAGGGGCAACGGGGGGGAGGGGAATGAGGAAGGGAGGAGGAGGCGGAGGGAGAGGGGGAGGAGGAGGACGAGGAGGAGGAGGATGGAGGCGCATGAGGGGGGGGGAAGATTGGGGAGAGGGAGGAGGAGGAGGAGGGAGGAGGGGGGAGAAAGG